TGCAAGTAAGAAACGACATTCAGCATGGTCTTACGACAAAAATTCAACAGATTAGCTCAAAAGAGCTTCAGAACTATCTACCGGTTTTTCATCTTCCTTTTGGTTTGCTTTGTGCTCACTCCCGCTGTCTGAACAAGGGGTTGTCTAGAAAACAGACAATGAATCATTGCAGATTTTATAATAGCACTCACCATTCGTATATTATTGGTTCTTCCCATTACTGATAACTGTCTTGGAGATGAAGGTGATTGTTTTGATATAGCACAAGATGACTTAACAGCAGAAAGCATACATAGAAGAAATCACGAGATACATCGGATCTCAGCAACGATTTAACATGAGCCAGGAACTTCTGATTTTCTTTTAATATTGTAGCAGCTCCATCATTGAACATCATTGTCCAAAGCAGACCGAGTGAATGTTTTTGTCTTTGTACAACGTCGAATTTCGGCTCTGTAGCACAACGAATTAATAGAGGCAGAACATCTTGTGAAACCATTTCATGTTTTATTTCATCGTGTTGTACAAGAGCTAAAGTACATTTGATGGTACTTTAAAAACAAACTATCTTCTTCTTTATCCGTTTGAATGCAGACTAAATTGCTAAACTTACTTTTCAAGCAAATCAATGTACTCCGTAATCGCAACTGTCGGTATGGATCATTGATTAATTTCTCGAAAAAAGTTTTAAACAATGCTGTAATCTTTCTTGGTTTTGTCAATGTTTTAAGATCAGTTTCATTCATCAAAACTGCTAATATTCGATAAGTATTGAATTGTACATGTTCTGCATGTTTAGCATTGATATAACGAAGAAGGATTTGGCTTAAACCCTTCTGTTCAATTACATCTAGAAGAGTCGGTACAAGTGTTAAACTGTATAAATAACCGATGCAATAGTACACTAAAAAGCTTGTTTCTTCTGTCTTTTCGAACAAATAAATTATCTACTGAAGTTAAAACACGGAGCACAAGATCAATCGTTTTTAAATGGAGTTCATAATGTTGAACTTTAATTTCATTTGAATCAATATAGCATATCAGTGCAATGATTTGTCGCAAACATCGGACGATTGGTTCGTTCCGCTCAGCTATGTCTGGTACAAGACTTTCTAATGTTTCAACATAAAAATTG